CTTACAAGGATTTCTATAGTTCATTACACAAAGTTTTCAATTACATCCTTATTGCTAGAATAGAAATGATCAACTAAGAGAACCAATCAGAATTACAGGGTTCTTTTGGAGGCTATTTTTGTGTCTAGAATCTTTATAATCTTATAAGATCTTTTTTTTTTCTTTCCCCAAATAGCCCTTCCAAGATCTGATATACATTAATAAGGAATGGGACCAAAGGTTATGAATAGTCATGTAAACTTCCATATTTCATAGGAAAACAATATTAATATCCTCTGGAAGTTCTCAATTTAATGCTTTATCAAACTGGATTTTTTCCTGTAACTTACAGCACAAAGAACACATCTCTTCTTTGAACACATCTCTTCTTTGAGAGCTGTAGAAAGAGAGGAGGATATTCCTTAAGCTCCTTTCTTGGGATGATTTATTTGATTGTGAAGATTTGTGTTTTTAGACCCAGACTCTGGAATTTCATTTATCAAGTTTAAAAGCAAAAATTAGGCTTGCAAAGCTCAACTTGACTAGGAGAAATGAAAAAAGAACTACAGATTTTCTATATAATGACAGTGAATTAACTGGACATATAGCATTTTTTTTCTGTATAATGTTAAGGTGGTTATTAAAAGTTTACATGTGATTTTGTGACTATATCTTTCCTCCATCCCTCAGCTGTCAGATGGCATGTAGATCAAACGTCATAATGCTCCCTAGGATTGTGAGAGTGAAGCTCCACGTATAACACACTTGAATTAACTGCAACCTGAGTAACCAAAACACTCTATTAACCAGAGCATATTCTACTGCTTCACTTTCAGGAAAAAAAAAAGAAGCAAATGATACCAAGACAAGCTCATAACAGAGATCCAATCAGCAGATGTGTACGGATGAAAATACAGGTACAAATGAATCGCTTATAGCCTTTTGGATCTGCATCTAAATTGTTGTGTAATGATGACTAGTATTCAGAATGTCACAGTAGAATGCAGAATCAGCAAAAGAATGAGCAATCAAATTTTCAGTAAGAGTTAAACACTTCTTTAGTATGTCCAGGTGGCTCACCCTATTCTAGGTTCTGGGAGCAGAAATATATATAAAAAAATTTATCTACCCCAGAGGGTCTATGGCCCAAGTCACCGTGTGTCTGTACTTGACAAACCCACATATCATGCACAGTGGAACAGCCATTCTCTGATAAACAGACTTCCTCCCTTTATATTCCCAAACTCTCTGCAGGAGAGTCCTTCCATCTTTTTGTGTTAACTGAATCTAGCCTGTTCTCTGAGAACAAGGCTTTATGTGTTAGCCTTTCAAATGGCGGCCACTTTACACTCCAGGTAGCTCCAGGTTTGAGAGTGTGGTCAGTGTCCTCCCCATTGCCACTTTTAGGCTACCATGCCTAAGAGATTTAACTAAATCTCTGCATTTTGAAGCTTGTGCTGCATTCCTGCCAGACTTCACTAGGCCTCCAAGTCGCACCTCCTCCTTTGCTGATGGTTTTTCACTGGGCTGCCCACTCCCTCTCCACTTAGGTGACTTTACTATTTACTTGAATGAACTATTCACCACTCCAGTGAATTATCCACTCTGCTCATCCATCTATTGTCATTGTGTGACCATTGTCAATACCTGAAACTACTCCATCAACCAAACAATGCAAACATCTAGCATCTCATTCACCATCTTCCTTTCTTTTCATTTGTTATACATATCCCATTACAAGTCTTCTTTCACTAGGTGCTTCTAGTTGACTTGCCCTTTCACCTCCCATTCATTTACCTATCCATTCATCTATCACCTTTTTCTACCTTCTATTTTCTTCACATTACTGATAGATTCTAAGATCCATTACTTCAATTTTTCTCTTGCAAATTGTCTGGCGAATTCCACCCGGGATGAACCTATCCATCTCCTCTATGTCTACACCCAGGCTGCTAAGAAAAACTAAAGAATAACAGAGTGAAGCAGATTTGTATTTCTGCAAATTAATGGTCAGTGACCTCAACTAGACTCTCAAAACTGGCCAGTTTAATTTCTACAAAATCTCTCTTAAACCCATTCTATTCCCCTCAAGCCTCCAACTCTGTTTTTCTCAGCATTTTTCCATTTCACTGGAAAAATGGAAACTATTAGATGGAGACTTCATACGGTCAAAAGTCTTCTCACTTCTAACAAAGGCCAACGATTTTGCATGTGGTCTGCACTCTAGCTCCTCAGGTTTTTCTCAAGAATATTAATTATTTCCATTCTTTCTGATATTATTTCTATTTCTTCTATTTCTCTACTTCCCATTAGCACTTATGCATGCTCCAATTTATCTCATTACTACAAGCAACTCAACAAACCAGCGAAACATCTCCCTCTGTCCCCACAAAGGACCCTTTGCAAACCACATGCTTCTCTGGCTACTACCAGTCTCTCCCACTGTTCTCAAATTTCTGGGCTGGGTTGCCCATAGTTTCTCTTTCTATCTTTAGTCACTATTCCCTCCATAAACCCTCAAATTCAACTTCTGTTTCAACAACTCCATGGAATCAACTCTTGCTAAAGTCACCAATAATTTTCATACCACTTAATCAAATGTACTCTTGTTGTCCTCATATCACGCCACCTTTCAGAGTCATTCTACAAAGTTGACCATTTCTTCTATTGAAATACTTTTTCCCTTTGATTCCCATGATGTCACATGCTCCTAGTTTCTCTTCTACCTCTCTCATTCAGCCACCAAGGCAATCCCATCCACTATCATGGCTTCAATTGCTACCTATACTCCAACAACTTTCAAATTCTATCTCTAGCCAACTTCTCCGCTGAACTATTCACATAACATCTTCATCTAGAAGCCTTCAAACACCTCTACTTGAATGCATTAAAAATGAACTCATGCTTCTGTTTTTTCCCCAAACCTTCTTTTTCTACAGTAGATACTTCCAACACCTATCTAATTGCTCAAACGACATACCTTGGATATACCGTTGACTCCTTCTCATTACCGCTTCTTATGTGCAACGAATTACCAAGTCTTGTTAATTCTACTCTTGGAATATTTTGTCACCACCATCATTAGTCACATGGCCTCCTGGAATGGGCTTTGCCCACAAAAACTATTTTCCTCAAAGCTATGGAAGTAAGCTTACAAAAATGCACCTCTGATTATGACATATTTCTACTTTAATATCCTTCAATATATTAAAGATTTCCCTCCCTTCTGGTATTTTTTGACCTACAAAGCATGTCAGTTCACAACTCAGCCTCTGATTTCCTCTCCAGCCCATCCTGCTCCACTCTCCTTCTTACATACATTGTTATAGCCGCACTGGTCTTGTTCTAAGTCCTCAAATGTACCTCCTCAACCCCAACTCAGAGCCTTCTGTCCCAAACACTCTAGGCTTACTCCTCCCTCTCCTGCAATAACATTGACTCACTCTTCAGCTCCTACCCTCCAAGAAGCCTTCCCTGACCTCTTATCCTAGTTAAGATCCTCATCTATATAGACTCATTGCCAACTGTATTTTTCCTTCAAGGCAGTAGTCACAAATCTAATTAAACAACTACTTCTGAAGATGGTACTTGTTTAACGTGTGTCCTCCTTGCTAGAATGTGCACTCCTGAGGTCAGGGTCTTTGTTCATTGTCATATTGTCAGCGGCTAACATTATGTTTGGCTTATCATATGTGCTCAGTGACTGCTTTTTTGAAGGAATGAATGATTTTAATATAACATGGTAAGTATAAAGATGGAGGCATAGAGATTGCAAAATGGAACAGAGATAAGTGGCATTTCATTCAGCCAAGGAAGTCTACCAGTGTAATTGCTATTGTGTGATTCAGATGATGGTCTTGAACACAAAATTTGGGAATAGGGTGGTCAGCAACCTAGTGCTTATTTCAGCTTGTGTCTCCAGCGTGGCCTCTTCTTTGTCTCTCAAAGAATGGAACCCCTGGAAAACCCAAGGCAGCTTAGTAGCTATCACCATTCACTAGTTGTAGGTGGAGCGATAATTTAACCCATCAGATAATCTGAGTTCTCTTCTTAAGTCCCCTGCTGTGACCATAGATCATTTAGGTTTTTCTATAAAGCAATACAACTTGGGAGATTGGTTGTCTTCCCCATCATTCAAGAAAGAATTATAAGATGATTTGTTTTACCTACATATGTATACATTCAAAATCCTATCATTTTCATAGGAGAAACAAACCATCCTTATTTCTTTATTTCTTACACCACAAACACTGGATTAAGAAAGGCAAATAATTGTAAAACCTAGTGCACTTTGAAATTAGGATGCTTTCTATGGAGAGACAATTTTATGCCAAAACCTTAATTTTTAAACTACCCTTGCTGGGAACCTGACAAAAGCAGCCCAAGTCCTACATAACATCCCAGGGGACAGAAGCACCTGGGGATTTTTAAGACACTTCCAATCCAATCAGTTTCAACGTTCATTCATTGAGCGGATGGTGAAACAGAACGCTGAGGATTCAGACAGAAACTCTGTCCTCAAAGAGCTCATGCTGAGGTCACAGACATATAGCCACATTGTTATAACATAATCCACAAATAGAAGTATGTACAAGTTATAAAGATGGCCCAGAGAGGGACAGATCTTTTTGGGGGATCAAATCCTGATGAGGTAAGACCTCAGCTGGGTTGTTAAGGATGAATAGGTATTTACCACACAAGCATGATGGGGAAAAGGCATTCCAGGGAAAGGTCCATCTTCTAATCACAGGATAATGCTTCTGGCCTGTACCAGCAAGAAATGGTGTGGGAGGTGAAGGACAGAGACCAAGCCATGAGGGGTCTATGTGGCATATTAATTGAGAAACAAGTACTTGGTTCTGTAACTGAGGGGACCCTTAAAGTTTTTGAGTAGGGACAGATATAATCAATTTCACGTCATCTCTGTGGCAACGTGGTGGATAGATAAGGGAAAAGTGAGTCTAGAGTCAGGGCTGGCCAGCAAAGAAACGGAGAGACCAGCTGGGCCCGCCTGTCCCCTCAGCCTGTAGAATATTCATCCACATACAATTTCAGGCTAAATTTGAGTGTTCATAAGCTAAAACCATGTATTGTATAATTTTAGATACAAGAAACTGAAGGGTATCATGTTATTTACGTAACATTCAGAAAACTACTGGACTTCTTGAATGTTTATCTGGCCCCACTATAATAAGTGAAGGTTTTACTCCTGAAATGTTGCTAAATAAATTATCTGTGTGCTAAAGATAACAACCTTAGGTCACACCGTTTCCTTCCCCTTAGAATAGCTGGAAGCAGGTAGAGTTTGTTCATCAGAAGGGACTTTTGCACAACTTTATGAGATAGTTGCAGGTGGGCAGTGTGGTTCTTGGACCACATTAGTTGGTCCTTGTTGCCTAAAACAAAGCAAAACAATGAGGGCATTTAACATGGCTTTGTTTTGTGTCCCCACATGGGCCTTCAAAATAATTAGGACTCTCTGATGTTTTCATTTTTTCATAGTCTTAGCAGGTCCCCACATCAGTATTAGATTTTGACATCTTGCTGCTTTCTGTGGAAAAGCACCCAGATTCCAAATAAATAAGTTTATGAAATTTTCCATTACCGGGCACTGGTTTGTCACCAACAATCTACTGTTCAACATTTATTGTACTAATTTGTAAACATAATCGTTGTCACGGAGACAAATGGATAAACAAGGACAGACAGATAATGACATCTTTAGAGACAGCATGTGGTAGTTACAGCTAACCTTTGGGTCCTACATTTTTGTGTTTTTGCTGCTGTGGACTGACGAACACAGAAGCCATTGTTTTTTAGTGTGTGAATCTACACTCAGAGAAAAAGGCGCAGCCTCTGGTCTGAGAGGATTAGCAAGGTTTTAGAGACTACTAAAGGTCTCTAAGGGTGAATGTGG